TTTTCAGATTAATCTCTGCATTTAAGATTCCGCCGCATTCTTGTGTGTCTAGACTGTTTTTCAATCAATTAGCAGTGGGGCAGGTGAACAGCCCTGGTCTATCCCGTCTTCTAATTTTTCTTCCTCAGTCCAAGTTGGACCCCATCATTTCCTCCACAAATTCAGACGTCATTCCTTTTAAGGCCTTCCTGGCTACCCCAGATATCACTGCAGACATGGGCTTTCCTTCCTCCCTGGCTCTGTTCTTAGCACTTTCTAGCCCAGCGGCATTTTAGCTTCTTTTGTTTGATGCCAGTCTCTGCGAGAGCAAAGAGCTGCATTATTCTTTATGGCTTTTTATCGTCTGGCATAGTGCTGACTCACAGGGGTAAATACTGGCTGTTTAAAGCCAATGAAGCCAACCATTTGCCCTACATCCCTCTCCCCAAATACACACGAGGAGGGGAATTTGTGCAAATATGTGCATCACATCTGGCTTGCTCCTCACCTCCAGAGAACAGCAGCAGTGCAGGATGGGAATGGGGAAGTGGTGACTAGCTCTTGCCCCTTCTCCTACTGTGTGCTTGCTATAGTGCCTGTATTTTCCATTTGAGATTAATTTATATAGGAATCTCTTCTTATTAAATTTTTAGTTTTCAGTTTAAACTATTTAATTGAAATTTGTGGCTGCTTATTGGGTGAGTCGAATGATGTAGAAAAATAAGAGGCTAGTTAGCCACCTTCCGCATTCCCTGCATCCCACTTAGACCTGAGCAACTGCCCTACGTTATACAGATCCCTTAGGCGCTTCAAGGTTAAGGAGGTATGCTCACTGGACTCTGTGACTCTCCCAGACCACATTCCAAGTCACCAGACTGACAAATTCTTTGTCCCAGTAGCTTCAAACTCTCTTCTAAGGTCAAAGCAGGAATCTGTCTGAACCTTCCTCCTAAGGGCAGACCTTTGCGGGAGGTGTGCTTCCCCACACCCTGGAGCCTTGCACAGAGGAGAAGCAGAGGTGCTGAGGGCAGCTGATGTGTGATCCTGAGATCTGCAGGTGCACAGAGACCTGGAGCAGCAGGCCTAAGTGACAGGGCCACTTCATTTGTCCTCCGAGTCTGGAGACAACACTGATTCACGATGTCAAGAGCAGGCTACCTCCCTCCCTGTAATCCCATTTCCATGTGACAATGAATGCTCCCTCACACCTGTCTCTATGTTTATAAACTACAAAAGAGTCTGCTGTAGGACGGTGCTTTTTTTTTTTTCTTTTTCCTGACGTTTTAGCATGCAATATGATGTCGGCCACAGCCTTTCTCTTTTCATAGCTCAGGTCTGCTCTTTCTAGCTCATGCATCAATGCAGATTCCTTATGACTCCATAGTGCTTCCGTCCTGCCCCCAACCTTAAACAAACCTCCAGTCTGTCTACTATGCTGTGTCTGTTTTGTAAACTATAGCCTAGATTCCTAGAAATAGGGTTAGTATTTTGAGTCAAAAGTATAATGTTTTGTCATAGCTGTTTCCAAACTTCTCCAACCAGATGCCCATCTCGCCAGCCTCCCAGCTCTGTATACTATGGGTTGTTTGAAATTTTGAAAATGGAGTTGCTAAAAATCTGAATGCCTGATTAATTTTGCTATTGTTCCTCTGGCTGCTGGGGGACGGGGGACGGGGGCAACATCGTTCCATGCCTCTAGCCATTGGTTCTTTCTTGTCTCTAAATCACCTGGTTTTATCCACCTTCATTGAGGTAGGAGTCAGTCATATCAAGTTCTGGTCATTTACCCATGTAAATGTACTTTCCCCTGATATCTTTCAAAATATATTCCTCATGTAGTTATTAGATAATCAAATATTTTGGGGTTAGGGTAGCATTTTCTACTTTCTGCCTGATTTATAAAGACATCTCCACCCATCCTAAATCCTGCTCTTCTCCTCTTATTGTCATTTGCTCCTCTCCTCCCTTTGTGGCGGAGCCAAGCCAGGGAACAAAGCCGCTCTCAGAAACAAAGAGGCCTTGAAATCTGTTCTCTGGGTCGTTTCTCCTGCTTCTGCTCCCTATTAGGACTTTACCATTTCATTTCTTCCAGCAGCCCCTCTTCAAACGCCAGCACAGCTGTGGTTGTAACATCTCAAGGCTGAGTCAGGGAACAGAGCTGGCCTTCAAGAGAACTTTCCAAGGATGGACATCTTGAAAATGAGAACAGACAAAAAAGACAGCAGTAAGACAGGGGGAAGGAAGAAGAGGACAAGGAGAGGGGAAAGGAGAAGGAAGAAGAAGGGTAGGGCGTAACCCATGTACCCAACAAGTGAACTAAGTCCGTCCTCTGCATAAGTCAGGAGAGTAGAGAGGAGCCTGAGGAGAAGCCTGATGCAAGGGTTTCCCTGTCCCTGACACCCAGGGACAGGTGGTTGCTTTTAGGAGGGAAATCTGGGCCCACAGAGAAGCCCTGCAGTGGAAGGCCCAATATACAAAGGGCAGAGAAGGAAGAAAATTAGGGACGGCTTTAAAGAGGGGATGGGTGGTTACTGGTGAAGTGAGGCCTAGGCCTCGGTCCTGGTGAAGTAGGCACAGACAGGGGAGGAGGCCCTTCCAAGGAAAGTGGCAAGAGTGAGGACAGAAGCCACCAGGCTTGAGGACCAGTTTTCAAGCCAACAACTTTCCAAACAGACCAAGGAAAAGTGCGTGCCGAAGAGAGGTGACAGCAACGCTGGCAAGGTGACCGCAGGTGACGAGTGATCAGGCCTTTGTCCTGCAGGCAATGGAGACCGAGATTCAGAGCCACACAGGTGGACCCGTCCCTGTGCTGGGGCAGGGATTCATCAGAGCATGCTCAGCTCCATCTGATCTTCCCACTCAGGGCGCGGTGGATCTTAAAAACATAGATCACCTGACTCAGTGGGTCCCCTCTCCTAAACCTAATTGAACCTAGATGTGATTCTGATGATCTGCCAATTAGAGACATCTGCTTCTTCCTCACTGGGCCCCTAAAGCCAGGGGGCATGTCTGTAAGATCCCTTGGTTTTCACATCTACCATTTCTCTTAGCCTGGCTTCTCTGCGGAAATCCTGGAGAGTGGCAGCAGGGAGTTCTACTCTGACCAGGGTCTTTCTCTTGTCTAACTATTCACAGAACGGACATAGAATACCAGGTCCCCAGAGCAGCAGATCTGCTTTGAGAAGAGTGACCTGACACCCATGCAGAGAGCATGTGACCCAGATGTAAGCCAATCTGCATCTCCTAAGTCTCTGATCAAGAGCAGGTTCCTGATCCACTCAAAGCTGGTGAAATGCAATAAGGCTTTGCCTGGGAATACTGAACCACACAGTATCTTCCTCCTTCTCCTCCTCATCTTCCTCTTTTTCCTCCTCAGCAGAACTTGGAAACCCCTCTCTCACCTTGAGATTATTCCTATTATCTTGCAAAGGGAAAGCCTGCTTTGTAGCAGGCAGACCCAGGGAGAAACTGCTGGGTCTGCGTTACATAATTTTAGAGCCGAAAAAGGTCATGTGTGGATCATACCAGGCAGCCCCAGGCTACTCGCTAACCCTAGCCAGCAAATCCCCTCTCTTGATTCGCTTGTTAGAGTTAGATTTCTTGTCAGCTTGCAGCTTAAGGAATTATCACTGTGCTGGGTACAAAGTCCTAAGAAGTCTGCTCCCTCCAGTCCAGAGAGAAAGCCTGCTTTATAAGGAAAATGAGTGATACCCAGATCTCCAGGTTTTTAATCTGGAAAATTTAGAAAGTTTCTGGAAGTGGCAAATATGATGTTTTCTTTAGCCAGTCAAAGAATGCTGTCACAATAATTAAACACTCCCATCTCCTTGCTTCCTCGGCTGTGATACAATCTGACCATGTCTGGGTGGTACATTGAAGGCAAACATTTTCTTACATGTGTGATCCTAGCACTTTGGAAGCTGAGGCCGGAAGATGGAAATATCAAAGTGTCTAATAAGATTCTATCTTATATTATTTTTTTTTATTTTATAAAATGTAACATAAAGAGTTCTGGAAAAGTTGGGTAGAATAGTGCCGAGATGAGAGCTCATGATTCCCACAAACAGACAGAAGAGCAAAGTTTTTTCATAAATAATGAATCTAGGGGCTGGGACTGTACCTTACTTGATAGAACGCTTGCCTAGCATGCAAGAGGCCCTGGGTTCGATTCCCAGCATTGCATAAACCAGGCATGGCTGTGCATACCTGTGATGCTAGCACACAGAATGTAAAGACTGGTGGATCAGAAGTTCAAGGTCATCCTCTGCTACACAGTGGCTCAAAACCAGCCTGAGACAATACTCCAATGTACTGTGACAGGATATGTCTTAGCAGCGGTACAAACAGTGCTTTGCAGCGTATACAATGGGGCTGTCTGTGTAGTTAGTAGAAGGGGCAGTGAATTCTTATAACAAGGTGCAGTCCAGAGTGACTCATAAAATAACTGTAGAGCAGGAAGTGAAAAAGGAGAAAAGCACTAAACCTTACCAGATAGCTGTGTTGGGGGTGGGGAGGCAGGGCCGTTTTGCTGTGTGCAGTAGCCATTTCTTCTTGCCTTTCAATCCTGTAGCTGAACCAGGTAAATGTTGACAGTGGTCTATTTTGTCAACCACCGTGTGTCTGGATACAATGAGGTTGTTTCTTAGGCCATGCTCATCTGTTCTTATTTCCATGCAAAATGATGAAAGGGATGCTGGCCTGGCTCCTCCCCTAGTTTCCAGGGTACCCTTTCCACTTGCACCCCATCCCAACTCACCAACGGTTACAGGAGCAGCCCTATGAGACTTGGTGACACTGGAAAGGTCACACTTTCTGCCAGCTGATCAGGAAGCAAGCCAAGGGTTCCCATTGTTGGGACCACTTCTGGCCCCAGCTGTCTTCCATAGGTATAACCACTGGCTGCTGCTGCCGCTTATGAATCGTTCCCAATCTGGGCAATTTGGAGAAGTAAATTCTCTTTAGCACTCTCTTTGTGTAGGACTGCAGCTTTGTTTAATCTTGTTGTGGGTTTCTTATTTCAGAGAACACAGTCGGAGGAAAGCTCTTCCATTTCACCCAAGTTCGCCTCTTAGGCCCAAGGAAACCAAGGTCTGAAGAGCAGCAATCAAGGTTCTGTCACCCATTAGAAGCAGCCTGGCTTTGTAAGTAAGGGTTTATTGAACTAGAGTCATGCCTGTTGATTTCTGTAGTGTCTATGACTACTTTCATGTAGCCAGGGCTGACTCATGGTAGTTTCTAGACTGTGTAGTCTACAAGGCTGGAAATACATACTATGGCCCTTTACAGAAAATGTTGCCCCCTTCTGCTTTTGAATATAGTCTCCCTTAGTGGCGAGTTCATTAAAGACAGTATTTCAGACATGTAGTAGGAGGCCGCTAGTTCATTTCCCAGCCACCCTGACCCAAAATAATCACACAAAAACTATATTATTTGGAATAGTGTTTGGCCAATAGCTTAAGCATATTGCTAGCTAGCTCTTACATCTAGAATTAACCCATTTCCATTATTTTATATTTTACCAAGAGGATTGTGGCCTGCCTTCAAAGTTCCAGCTGGTAGCTAGCATCTTTCCCTTCTGACAGCTACATGGCTTCTCCCTGACTTTGCCTTCTTTCTCCCAGCATTCAGTTTAGTTTTCCCCACCTACTCTACCCTATCACAGGCCAAGGTAGATTCTTTATATATTAACCAATAAAGCCAACACATATGCAGAAAAGGACTTCTCACATCACAAGCATGTGCTATGAATAGAGCTTTGGAGAAATAAAGGAAAAAACCACAAAGACGATAAACCCACTGCCCAAACTGTTTGACCCTGACTGACATATTTCTACCCTGCCATATCCTTTTCCTCTAGAAACAGGAATTTTACTAGAAGTCCACTTATTTAAAACATGTTCACAAACATCTTCTATATCCCAAGCAGTGCCCTGGACCATGGGATTCTATCACCAAATCAAAAGAACATGAACCCAAGTGTCCATCAACAGACCCTCCACTGGGGAGAGGTGAATGGTGATAGTGTTCTCCCCTTCTGCTGTCTCCCAGATGAATGATAGCCAAGCTGACGGAGCTTGTGAGGGCAGAGTTGGGTCTCCTGTGCAGGTTGAAGCCACTGAGATGCCGGTCCTTCTAGCTGGGCTTTTGTGTCATCACAGAAGAGCCTGTGGTTTCAATGGCTCTCCCGCTCCTTTAGTTCTGAATCTCAATCTCTTACAAATGCCAGGTCAGCGCATCAGAGAGCCAGCTGGGCACTCCCGGGACAGAAAAATTCACCTCTGCCCTTCCTCTCCAGTGTCCTCTCAAGGCAGACACCAAGGTCAGAACTGGGAAGTCAGATCCCAACCCCATGGGCCTCAGAGATATTTGATGATTCGATTTCTGTTGGGCACAGAATGTGCAAATTAAATACAAACGTGTACTTTTCTATGAGACCACAAAGCAGCGCGAGGTGAAAAATAATTTTTTAAATTTCTATGGTCCAGGCGAGGAAGAGTAATATGAAAGAAGAGAAAAACATAAAAATGGGCTCACAAAAGCAAATCTTATCCAAGTCCTAATTATACTCGGGACCTTGGGAATCATTCCTTCTGCTCTACTTTCAGGCAGAGACCCCTCACCCCCCGCTCTCTGCAGACCCCCCTTGAAGAGAGTTAGGCAGGGCCAGGTGTCTAGGAACACAGTACTCCTTGAGAAATCTCCTGCCCAGGCCCATGCCTGTAGTCCTAGGATGTGAAAGCCTGAGGCAGGAGAGTTATTAATTTGAAGCTGTCTTGGACTACACTGTCAGTTCAAGGCCAGCTTAGACACACAGTAAAATTCTTTCTCAAAAATCTGGAAAAATGAGGACTGGGGGTGGATTTTGTATTTGTGCTACAATGTTAAGATTCATGAAGATACACAGGACAGCTTCTCTACCCAAACTCCTGCTTTCTCCCTGAGTTCTGTGCTGTAGAAACTACTTTCCGGAGACCTCAAATGGCTCCGCTCTTCCTGTGTACTACACTTATGGTAAATCCCCTAACGGTAGCATCTAAACTAACAGTGACTGTTTATTATTCTCTGGCTAAATCCAGAGACAAACTGCCCTGACGGCAATTTATGACTGAGCTCTTTCCTGATATCTTGAAGGACTTCTCCGACACCTGGCAAACATCACTGGGACTCAGCCACTGACATCTCAAGAGATGCTTGGGACTGAGAGTCACATCTGTGGAGTGTCAGACATTTCAAAAGCCTCTATCCTTACTTCGGAGCAAGAAAAGGATGATTTGATCGCAGGACCAGAACCTCATGAGGGTCTATGAATTCTGAATTCTAGTGTGTCTAGTCAACAATCAACCAAGGTCCGAGCTTCTCCTGGGAACCACAGTCTACATGACCGGGAATGGCGGAGTCAATCAAGTCCCTGCCACCACGGAACTGCTAAATCCTAGAAACAAGTCAACAGAAACATTTGCAATTTAATAGCAATCAAATATTATTTTAGAAAATGATAAATACAACTAAGACAGCTAAAGTGAGGGGTGAAACGTGGATGGTGCTGTGTTCTTGGGGAGGTGGGAAGGAGCACCCGTGAGAAAGATCATAATAGAAATGGATTTAGGGACTTGAGGGACCAAGGAAAGGTCAGAGTAACAGGGGCCCTTGGATGTGCACAGTGTAGGGAGAGGGGTTTACACGCCTTGGAGAGGGATGGAGATTAGACAAGCATAGGCGAATCTGAGCAGAGATTTTGAAGTATTTTAACTGCTCTCTTCTAAGAAATAGACCAGGAGGAGGAAGAGCAGGAGGAAGAAAAACAGTTTAGGTCCATTGTCAGAGTGACGAGGGCCTGGGGTGAAGGCCGCTAGCTATGGTCCTGACTGCCTTGTGGACCTCTGTACCCAATCCCTAAGCAAAGTGGACACTTGGTAAGCAACAAAGGAGCAGAGGAGTGTAGTCCTGACCCGGGGGCACCCACAGCTTCCAGGGGAGCCCAAGACAGAGCTCCTTCAGCTGTGACTAAAATGAATGGTGGCCATGTTTGCAGGAGGATTGATATGAAAGGAATATTTTACTGGCAGAGCCCTGGAGGAAGCCAGGTACTGCAGCTGGGACCTGCAGAGACTCCTGGGTACCTGATGGGATAGAGTTGTTGAGGGAAAAAAAAGGAGCAGTCTGGTGCGGCACTCTGACCACTGACTTACATCCTGGGAGTTGAGAAATACCATCTTTATTTGGGACTCAGATCTGCCCCTTGTCTCTAAGTAAATGCCTGCAGGAAATTCTCTTTGGCTTCCTTCAAAGCATACTCAGAGATTCCTTTCAGCTGCCCTTTCTGTTGGCTGTGCCATAGACAGGGATGGGCCCGATACCCTCCACACCCTGGGTCTATCCATCCGGAAGTATTGAGTCAACCGCCGTTGCCCAGAATCTACCTCAGTCTCTTCCCACACCTCAAAGAAACCGTTCCCAGGAATGAGGTGGGGCAGCAGGAGGAGAGGGCTAGGTGTGTGCCTGAAGATCTCAGGGGTGGGAGGGAACTGGGATCAGGAGCCCGGGCCTCTAGCTTGCACAGGGATGCCCAGACAGCCTGCGACACAGCTTACTGGATTCCATGGTCTGAGGTAGGGACAATCTATGTTTCTCATCAGTTCCCAGGGATTCAGAACCCTCCAGGATCACCCTTCAGGAATATTGTTCTATAGGAAACCACAGAAGGTTTGCAGGAGAGAAAGGGTAGTTTTAGTCATGACTTATAGAATTCCCAGCCCTGGGCTAAGCGTGTTGTGTTGAATAATGCCTTTTAATCCTCACCCAGCCCTGGGAACTAGCATCACATTTGTGATATTGAAACAGATGAGATTTATGAAGACTGGAAGACTCGCTCAAAGTCACATAGCTTACAAGTGACCCTTGGCCCAACTCTCTGACTCCCCTGCTTGAACTATGGAGAGAATTTTCAAGAGGATAAATTTGCATGGTCTGATTATGGTGCATTATGAGACAGCTAGAGAAAAGACCAAGAACTGGACAGTACAACTGAACATTCAGCAGTAAAGGATATGTCTGCAGCCACATATGGATAAGGATATGTTCCACAGACCCAGCGGAAGCATAGGATCCTTCAACTTCTGCAGATCAATAATAGTCTTAGAAAAATAAATAAAGGGCTGGGTAAAGCACATGCCCAGTTTAAGGGATAACCTGGATAAAGCCTCCAATACTACAAAAAAGTGTATGTGTGTACATATATATACACATAAATAATTTCAATTTTAATTTTTTTAAAAGAGGCTTGACAGAACAGACATGGTGGCAAATGCCTATAACCCTAGGACACAGGAAACAAAGGGAAGAAGATTGAGCATTTCATGTCAGTTGGGGTACATATGTTGAGATTATGTCTCGAGAGATTTAACACACACAAACACACACACACACACACAAACAAAGAACTTCTAAAACACAAAAAATGATGATTCGAACTCGTAATCCCCTACTCAGGAGGAAGAGGCAGGAGGATCAGAAGGTAAAGATCATCCCTGGCTGCACAGCAAGGTTGAGGTCAGTCTGGGCTACAAGAGGCCTTGTTTATTTGGTTGTTTTTGTTTTTAAAAGTTCTCAAAATGCATAAATAATAAACAGTCTCAATGTCCCAGTTTTCTCCTCCCCCATTTAGAAACACATGGAAACAACCATCTAGGAGGAATAAGTCATCACTACTAGCAAATCTTCTGGTACCTTGCCCTTGGAATTCTTAGCCTTCTGTGCCTTAAACTATGAATTTCTATTGTAAAAGCTATTACAATATAGAAAGGAAAGTCTAACACTTTTGTTGCTTTGTATTTATCTAAAGGTTCCATATTCCACCCTTTAAAAATATATCTTTTATTTCTCTTCTTCTCCTACCCAACAACTAATACTCTCAGTGCTGTCTGTTTGATTATGTAGCAATCACAATAATGATTGGCCTAGCAAAGCATGACTCTGCGATAGTAGCACGAGCATCATGGGAGTTTCTGTCTGTATTTAAGTCCCTCCCACTCCACAAGACGAAACCCATACCTGAGGCCATTATTAGAACAAGTCATAGCCCTAAGGAAGAGCCTACCACAATTATCCCCTATATGGACATAGTATTCAATTGACTCCTAATGACTTAAGGTTGCACCCACAGACCAATGCATCTCTCAACCCCCATTTGAGAAGCTTGTATTTGCACCAGAGGGTAGTTAGCACAGTGACCCACAGCTGGCCAGGGTTTATAGAATAAGAAACTGCAGAATGCTGAGCCCTAAAAGAAATGTATTTGCCAAAAACCTTCACCAAGGGTTCAGAGATCACTGTGGAAGAGGAGGCAGAGAGGGTGTAAGAGCCCGAGGAGGCAATGAGTAAAAGAAAACTGTCTTCTAGGCATAGTAAGACAGCTGCACAAATGTACCCACACTACTCATGCAAGACCCTAGCTAGTAATTCTAACCAAACAAGTGGAAGACCTGCATGACAAGAACTTTAACTCTTTGGAGAAAGAAATTGAAGAAGACACCAGAAAATGGACAGATCTCCCATGCTCTTGGGTAGGTAGAATTAACATAGTAAAAATGGCAATCGTACCAAAAGCAATCTACAGATTCAATGCAATGCCCAGCAAAATTCTTCACAGACCTCAAAAGAACAATTCTCAACTTTATACGGAAAAGCAAAAAACCCAGGATAGCCAAAACAATTCTATACAATAAAGGAACTTTTGGAGGCAACACAATCCCTGACTTCAAACTCTACTACAGAGCTACAGTACTGAAAACAGCCTGGTATTAGCATAAAAACAGTCCGGAGGACCAATGGAACTGAACTGAAGACCTAGATATCAATCCACACACCTACAAACACCTGATTTTTTACAAAGAAGCAAAAAATATCAAATGGAAAAGAGAAAACATATTTAACAAATGGTGCTGGCATAACTGGCATGATATCAACATGTAGAAGAATGAAAATAGATCCATATCTGTCGCCATGAACAAAACTCAAGTCCAAATGAATCAAAGACCTCAGCATAAAACCAACCACATTGAGCCTCATAGAAAAGAAAGTGGGAAGTATACTTGAACACATTGGCACAGGAGATTACTTCCTAAATATAATCCCAGTAGCACAGACACTGAGAGAAACAATTAACAAATGGGACCTTCCGAAACTGAGAAACTTCTGTAAAGCAAAGGACACAATCAACAAGACAAAACAGCATCCTACAGAATGGGAAAAGATTTCCACCAGCCCCATATCAGGCAGAGGTCTGATCTCCAAAATATACAAAGAACTCAAAAAAATTGGTCATCAAAAGAACAAATAATCCAAAAAAATTAATGAGGTACAGACATAAACAGAAGACTCTCAACAGAGGAATCTAAAATGGCTGAAAGACACTTAAGGAAATGCTCAACATCCTTAACCATCAGAGAAATGCAAATCAAAACAACTCAGATTTCATCTTACATCTGTAAGAATGGCCAAGATTAAAAACACTGATGACAGCTTATGCTGGAAAGGATGTGGAGTAAAGGGAACACTTTTGCATTGCTGGAGAGTGCAAACTGGTATAGCCCCTTTGGATATCAGTATGGCAATTTCTCAGGAAATTAGGAAACAACCTTCCTCAAGACTCAGCAATATCACTTTTGGGTATATACTCAAAGGATGCTCAATCATACCACAAGGACATGTGCTCAACTATGTTCAGAGCAGCATTGTCTGTCATAGCCAGAGCCTGGAAACAACCTAAATGCCCCTCGACTGAAGAATGGATAGGGAAAATGTGGTATATTTACACAATGGAGTACTACACAGCAGAAGAAAATAATGACATCTTGAAATTTGCAGGCAAATGGATGGAGCTAGAAAACATCATATTGAGTGAGGTAACCCAGACCCAGAAGACAAATACCATATGTACTCACTCATAAGTGGGTTTTAGACATAAAGCAAAGAAAAACCAGCCTACAGTTCACAATCCCGGGGAACCTAGAGACATACATGAATCTAATCTACATGGGAAGTAGAAAAAGACACGATCTCCTGAGTAAATTGGGAGCATGAGGACCATGGGAGAGGGCTGAAGGGGAGGGGAGAGGATGGGAGGGGAGCAGAGAAAAATATATAGCTCAATGAAAACAATAAAAAACATAGCAGCTAATTTTCTTGAATGGTCTTTATCATCATCATCATCATCATTATTGAAGTATAATGACAAGAACCTATACAAATGAACTCATCTCTATTGTCCAAGGTAAAGCAGGAGACACGCTGAAACAGATTTGCAAGTTGCAATGCGAAGAACAGGGATAAAGTGAACCGAGAGTTCTCCCTGCTAGACATTATATATGCAAAAAAAAAAGTATGGCCTTTTATTATACTCGTTACACACAGGCAGAGCAACAGTCTGACTTAACCCCATTACGGAGGGGAAGTCCTAGTCTGGGATCTGAGCTCACACTTGACTGGGAAGAAAGTCCCCGAAGGTTACCCCGAGTTAAAGCTTGACCTGCTGTTTCCATTCCCGCTGCCGACTTCCTCATTTCTAGATTTTCCTCATTTCAGATGTCAAAGCAGATCACAGCGACTGTTGAATGGGCTTGAACAATGTGCTGTCTGGCAAGAGGAACCGCAGGGAAGGAACTGTTTTCCTGAGGAACGCCCTAACTCAGGGTCTAAGGACCCTCCCAGCCAGTGCTCTGAATCTCGTTCAGTTATACACCGCACCCGCACCCACCCTCTGCGTAGCGCTCCAGGGCTCAATCACTCTGGTCTCCTGGTGAGCTGACCGCCTTGATGATAGGCTGCCATCGTTCCCAAACTGTGTGAAAGCAGGGCAGTCTTTGGGTCCAGTGGCCAGCCTTTCTTTGCATTATCTTATTTTTACTTCCTAAACTGTCATGAGTTCCTGGCTCTTAGGATCTTGAGGGACACCATATTCACAGAATTCTGGGGTTTTGTTGTTTTGTTTGGTTTGTTTGTTTCAAGATAGGATTTCTCTGTGTTACAGCTCTCAAAATTCTGATTTTCATTATAAATCTGAATTAAAACACACTCATTTGCACTAAGAATTTTATACAGTGGACTTGGGCATCTGGGGTAGTAGGATTTCTCAGACCTTGGAGACCAGTCAGTCCCTGGGACATTGTATGTTAGAGCAGCTTTTTCTCAGCTCCTCTTTTAAGTAGCAGAAGGAAGTTAAAAAGGATTTCCATGGTGCCACTTCCTGCAGGCACTGGGCATCTTTCTACTTCTGCTCTGGGGAAATCTGACCTACAACTCTACTGCCTCTATCCGCAGTCTCCACACAGATGTGCCCCTAGTTAAACAGCTACTTTTAGAGGTCATAGTGTGGGGACCACCTGCAGTGTCAGGACTTGAGAGGTTGACATGCCAAGATCAAGAGTTCTTAGTCAGCCTGAGCTACATAGCAAGCTCTTGTCCCGAAACTAAAATAAAAAATAAAATAAAATAAAACATAAAAAGCACAAGCTGGGAGAAGAGAAATTCTAACTTTCCCAGAAAAATCCATGACTTGAGAAATCATTTAAAGCGTCCTCAGCAATAGCAGCTGTGTCCGTATTGAATATATAAAAAGTCGGGATCTTTAAAATTTCCATGTTGATGGCAATGTATGCTGGGGTTCAGTCCAACCTGGTGGAAATTCCATCAAGTCATTTTTCACATGGGAGGGGAATTGTTTCTAGGAGCTCCTAACATGACCTTGGATGTCCAAGTCCACTGTATAAAATGAAGCAGTATTTTCATGTAAGCTACCCACAGTCTCCTCTAAACTTTAAATCATCCCTAGATGTCTTCTGATATCTAATGGAATATATAACCGGCTGTTGCACTGTGGTGTTGAGGACATGAAGACACACAAAAAAGTGTGGTCATGTTCCATAGAGACAGTTTGTCTTCCTGATTCTTTTCTCTAGGCGGTGGAATCCAGAGATGCCCACAGATTAGAGAGCCAACTGTACAAGTCACGTGTGTTTATAATTTTAAATATGCTGGTAGCCACCTTAAAAGTAAAAA